CCCCGGTGTGACATTTGGGGTGGACTTGGAAACATCTGACCCGGGCCACTGCCCCACTGCCATGCCACACCAAGTGACCTTCATACACTACCTCTGCCTGTAGTGGGTGGGCAGAACCGAGGCTCGGGCAACAAGCCTGGGTGTATCTACTGCGGCCTCCTGCAACTCAGCAGGGCAAGTCTGAGCTTACTTCACCTGCAGGTCACAGAACCGGTTCTGAACAGGGACCCTGCGCGAAGCCATGTGTGGGCTGGTGTTTGGGTGTGTGGAAAGGCCCCTAAAGGATGCCAGGATTGACATGCTCCTCCCCTTCTGTCCCCCACGCCTGCGCCCTGCTCAGGGCACTGCCCCTGATGTCTGACACCCCCACTCAGCTTGCTCTCAGCCTCTCTGCTCTGCACCACTCTTCCCCCCTCCCTGCATGGCAGGCACAGGCACGCACACCTCAAGACCCTGCAGAGATAAACATATCCTGAGCCCCAGCCCCCCTGTGCCCTTCCCCGGGGCTCTCAAACACTGGGAGAAGCCTTAAAGGGTTCTAGAATCTTCCTTCCTCTCCCTGGGTCTGTGTCCCCACCTCCACCTGCTAGGCAGAGGAGGAGACTGACATGGCTGTAATGCTCTGATCCGGTGTTTACCGACAGCTCTTTCTGCCTAACGGGGTGTAGGTGCCCAGTCTTGTTTGGGAGGCTCAGCTCTGCCTCCTGACTTACATGTCTTTGATTCCCACAGTGGTCCCAGTATCAGAACACAAACTCCAAGCTCGTGGCCCTTCCAGAGAGGGTTTTCTGAGACCCCTTGCCCACTGAACAGCCTCATGATCTCTCTCGGCACCGGGGCTTTACCTATGGGATGACAGCTTTGTTTTGAACAAAACTTGGAGCCAAATTCCACGTATGAAACAGATAAACAAGGGTGTGTTCTGCTGGGGAGAGTCTGCTCAGCTCCCTTTACCTCTCTGCTCACCCCCGAGGCCCGGAAGGCCCCTCTGAGAAGGCCGAGACTCTGCAAGGTTGCTGGCAACTCCCAAGCCAGCCAATGTCATGTGGAGGAAAAGGAGACAGAGAGAGCTGAAGGGCCTGTCCAGTCTCACAACGAACGACAGGCCAAAACCAGAGCTGGAAACCAAGCTCACCCGGCAGCTGCCCGCAGAAAGGCCTGGCCATGTGCCCCACGAAGACTGCAGGAACGACCTTTGCGGGCGTCTCCCTGTCTCATGGGCGCCTCAAGTTGGAACTGACAGGGTGGCATCCAACAAAGGCAGCACCACCAACTCGAAACCGTGTCTGAGGAGCTGCCCCGTTTTGGATACAACTGGGGAACCGAGCACCACGGTTCCAAAGAGGCGTCCTGAGGCTGGGTCTGTGTCCCTACCCATCTCTAGCCCCCAGGAAGAAGCTTCTGGCCAGGCAGTGGATGAAAACTGGCCACACACCTCCTCCTTGGGCCAAAGTGAACGTGCTGGCATTCAGCACTGTCAGCCCAGAGGTGTGGCAAGGAGTGCCAGAAGAGAGTACCAGCAAGCTCCTGGTCAGGAAGGCTGGGCCGGGAGGGGTGTTGAGGGGCACAGAGCTCTTGAGGAAAGCCAGGTCCCTTCCCCACACCATGGCCAGGAGGGTTTGCCTTGGAGGAGGCCACCCACAGCAGGGAGCTGCACAGCTGTGGGCGGGAGAGTGCCGGCACCTGTGGGGCAGGGGCAGGGGCAGTGGCCACACTGGGCTCTCAGTAGGGCACACCTCTGCAGGTGCGCCTCTCACAAGCCTGCACATGCCGTGTCAGCCCTGCTCAGCACGGACAAATCCACAGGCACGGCACCCAAGGAATGTACTCACATGTCACACACACAAATATATGCCGACATCCACCTAGGGGCATAAACACCCACGAGTGCATAGAGCGCTCACACACACGCACAGACACCAGTCTTAATTGATCATGTCCCCCTACAAGCCTATTCTGGTCCACAGGTGACCACACACAGAGCCCTGCTGAAAGAAGGCTAACAAGGGCCCTGAACGGGGGGTCCCCAGGGAGTCAGGAAGCTGGAGGGGAGGGCATCAGACAGACCCCAAGACACCTCAGGGCTGCAAAAGCAAACCCCCAAAGCTGGACTGAAAAAGGGACTTAAAGTGGCCAAAAAGTGTCGCCTCTCTGCCTATCTCCCCTCCCCTCTGCGCCCCCTGCCCCATGGGCGGGTCTGCTGGGGGCTTGGAGAAAGAATCTTCTCTCCTATAAACCTGCCGAGAGGAAGAAACGCCCCCGCCAGGCACAGAGCCCCGGGCTGACCTGAATTCATCTGTGACCTTGGTGGTGTCTCCAATCTTCCTGAGGCCGTAACTGCTGATCTGCGACATGCCTGGGTCTCCTGAGACCTTACAGACTACCCCACCCCACCCCTGTGCCCCGCCCCATGGCCACCCTGGGGTGTGAAGGGGGAAGGTGGGGTTCCCCAAAGGGGCTGGTGGGGTGGAGACTTCTGTGGGCAGCCAGAGGTGTGCAGGGGCCCAGGGTCACCTCCTTCTCGGCCTTGGCCTCTTCCACGGTGATGGTGCTGTGGTTCTTGTGCTCCTGGAACATGCACAGGTAGCAGATGCACGACTGGTCCGTCTGGCAGAAGAGCTCCATGGTCTTGCCGTGCAGGGGACACTTGCGCGCCTCGAAGTCCCGGATGGGCTCCAGCAGCTGGTGGTCTCGGAAGGCGGCCCCCTCCAGGTGGGGCTTGAGGTGCAGTTCGCAAAAGGAGGCCTGGCACACCAGGCAGGACTTGACCGCCTTCTGCTTGTTGCTGATGCACGAGTCGCACAGCACCTCCTCGGAGGAGCTGGGCTTGGGCCGCAGGTGGATCCCCGAGTCGGCCCGAGGCGGGTAGCTGTTGCGCCGCCCCTCGCCCGGCTCCACGAGGGACACGGCGGGCTTCCGGGGCTCGGAGAACATGGACCTGCCCCGCAGCTCGCCCTTGTCGGCGAAGCTGACGGCCGGCTTCTTGGAGGCCCCCAGCTGGAGCCCCGCGTAAGGGGAGCGCTTGCCGTCGGCGGAGTCCATGCTGAAGTAGTTGGGGCCCTTGTCGTCCACGGACTCCACAAACTGGATGATGGGCCGCCGCCACTCGTTCCCCGCGAAGAGGGCGGTCTTGCCCTCCCCGGCCTTCAGGGCACTGCCCGCGCTCTTGCCCTCGGCCGCCTCCCCGCCATGCCCGTTGGTGGTCTTGGCGTCCTTGGCTTCAGGCTTTGCCCCGCTCTCCGGGCTCCCGTGGGGGCCTGGGGGGCTGCGGGCGTCCCTGGCTTCTGGGCTGGCCCCGTTGCTCCTGGAGGCATCTGCGGCTTCCATGGCGGGTCTCTGGGCTGGGCTGCTCGGCGTGCGGGCTGCAGACGTGGCCTGTCTCCCGGAGCGCGCGCGCGGCGTGGAGCGGGGCCGGCGGCGGGCGCACCTATAGGGCCGGGGCGGGGCGAGCCCAGGGGCGGAGCAGCAGGGGCCGCCTGACACAACGGGCGGACCGCGGAGCCAGCAGAGCGACTAATTATCCCGGCCCACGCCCTGCACTTACATACCTAGCCTGGATGTTAAAAGAAGTGTTTCTTCTCCCCTAGCTTAATTGTTTTTCCATAACTCAGCAACCACTCTGAGCTGCTGCCCTCAGGGACGTGGGGGAGCCTCTGTCCTCACCGGGGCCAGGCTCTGCCTGTCTGGGGGAGCCTGGGGCCCACCGACAGAAGGGCTACTCATCTGGTTGTATAAGTTAAACCACCTTGAATTTCTGAGCCTGGATTTCAAAGGAGAAAGTCCCTTCCCTGGGACCTGGGATTGCTGCTTACCTTGGATTTGAAGTGGCATGGCCTTCATGTCTCTGGGCCACAGATGGTGGTGGTGGGTAGAGCCATTGTTGAACATTCTTCTCAGTACTTTACAAATATAATCTTACTTGACCCTCACCACAATCTTTTCAATTACTCATATTAAATAGATAGGAAATGGAAGGTCTTAAGAAGTAACTTCCCTAAATCAGGTGGTAAAGTTGAGATTTGAACCTAAGACCCTTGAGACCCCAAAGTCCCTTCTTCGGGAGAGTGATAGGTCAGGAGGTCATAGAATGACCTGACAATCTTGGCAGAATCGGCTTCTGGGAGTCCTTGCTGTCCCAATACCTTAGGTTGTTTCTGTGAGAGCAGGGCAGGACCCTCTCACAGGTCCGAGGGACTAGGAAACAATGATGAGGGGCATGCAGGCAAAGAGCGGTGAGGTGGTTTGGTCCTCCAAGTCCAAACACTTAACTCTCACCTGTCTCAACAGGTGTTGCTGTGTGAGAAAGAAATCAGCTCCTTTCTTGGGTCACAGGTTGTTGATGGTGGTAGTGATGGTTGTGATGGTGATGGTGATGGTGGTGGTGATGGTGGTGGTGATGGTGGTG